GTTCAAGTTACTCTGAGTAGTGACATTGATTCTTCTTCTCATATTAATGTGGACGTCAAGGAAGGAAAATAAATTACTCTTATAGAAGAAACTCATACCCTTCACTGTGGACTAATTTTCGAAGTGGTGTTAGGCAATCCATGAATTACTATGAGTAAAATATTGAAGGGAAAAATCAACATTTAGATAAATTTTAGTGCATTTTGTGTTTCTGCCTCAGTCTTACCTCTTCCAGGCTAGTTGAGATAAAATATGGAGGTCAGGGAAATTAGTAACTTAAGGACCTTCTTTAAGGATGGCGAAATTATCTTTCTTTGGCACATGAGCCTACTGCTTAAAAGACAGATACTTGTGATAATATCCTTTTTATCTCACTAATTAAGCATACAGCTAGGCTGGGGGTGCTTTGGAGATGCAGCCTCATCAGCAGGCCTGGCACTGTGGCAGTGTTTTAATTCAAGAAGCCTAATTTAATTAGCACCCTGCCACTGGGGTGGCTGGTGTGCTGCCTTGGATCTGTAGCCTGAGGAGAAATGTGCAACCCCTGCTCTTTTTATTTCTAGTTAGCCTCATAAAAGGTAGGCTGTCCAAGGAGAGAGAGGAACTTTGCTACTCCATCATGTTTTGCATATGGTGCTAATTGAGCCGACAGACTTGGACCACAGTCTGTTACTGCAACGGCTGAGTCTTGGGCTGTTACCCAGCGAAGGGATTGAAAATGTCAAATGGCTTATCTTCGCCCTTGTGGCTCTTGAAATGTAGGAGGGAATTGATCAGGGGCAGATAGCACTTCTGTCTACATGCTTGAGTAATTGCAAGCAAACACAGAACTAGAAAGAAATAGGTACCCAAATCCTACTGGTAAGGGTTACACCAATTCTCCTCACTTTCCTACCCAGTGTGCTAATGAGGAAAAGAAAATACGAGGCTCTGTGGCTTCCCTAATTGCTGTGCTTTGCCCTCATAACATGATCATGGCGAGAGTCTTGTTTCTGTCAATCATTTCCGGCTCTTTCTGCCTGGAAAATAACAATGCATGTCTTTTTGAGTTGTGGGTTATTCTAGATCCTTTTCTTCCATGGTTACAATAATGACAATGATGATGATCATTTGTTTTCTTTTGTTTTACTTTGTAATAATGAGTCATAGCAATCAGTGAAATTTTGTGTTTCTGATCTCCCAAATTTATCCTGTGGTAGTTTCTAAATTTTCCTCCGCATTTTATGAACCAAATAGATTTACTTTTAATTCCATATTGATGAACCTTGTATACTATCTTGGACTCTTACTTTGTCTCTGAATATATACTTCCCACTTTGAAAATTAAAAAAAAAATACTCCCATGGCTTAAACTGCTCAGAAAATAAAGGCAAGTAACATGTTTCAAATAATCTAAAGCACGTGGTAAATGCTCAAGGCATGAACTCTCCCTTTTCACTTAACATCCCCCTTGCTTGGAGATTTGTTTCTTATCTTTAGCCACAAACACTTGATTTTTTATTTTATTTCAAGTATAAATAAAACATTTATATCTAAAGCCTGTGGATACTGGCAAAATTGACCTCAGAGGTGCCAGTGTGGCAGTTTTATCTTGGCAATGATGGAATTTTTAGGGATATTGACAGTTACTTTATAAGGGAAAGAATCTCTAACTTTTCATCTTTTCTAGCACAGCTCTTTGGATGCATGACTATGCAATGGGAACAGCAGACAACATCTGCCCCGTTGAGCCAGGTATTATACCTACTTTGTGCCATTTGAAACTTTCACAGCAACTGTGCGAGACAAATTGTCACCATCATTCCACAGACAATAAGGAACATCAAAGGGATTAAATGACTTCTCCAAGATCACACAGCTCTTAGAGAAGGTCTGAATGACTCCAGCATTAATGAATCTTCTTTAGGAAGAAAAAGAAGAAATAAAAGACGGAAGAGAGGAAAGAGGAAGGGAAAAACAAAATACAGAGAGAAATCAGAACATTCATTTTAGAAAGACTGGCATTAGCCTTTTCTCTTATCACCAGCACCTATTTTTTGGTTTCAGAGGGAAATGTCAGCTTTGGAAATAATTTAACCCAAATAATCACTCTGTTGGAATAACTCCTGGTGCTGCTGTCATTTGGCTTACAATTATAGTTAATTGAACATCTTCGGAACGATATCAGTGCTGCGTGCACATGAAAAAAAATCAAATGTGCTAAGCATGCAAAAACATGATCTTAAAAGTTCATTTTTACCAGCAGAAAAAAGAAAGCAATTAGTGAGACATTTTTAAGTAAGTAGGGGGAAAAATCCATAGTCTTGAGATGAGCTCTAAGATGATCCCTGGGCCCCATTAAGGGTGCGGTAATGAAAAGGGATTGCAAGCTACAGGTTGGCATCTGTGAAAAGGTTCCCCATCTCAGGAATCAAGACACATTAGTCTCATTATTTGCAGATACTTGACAAGACAAGAGCCAGAGGGAAGCGGCAACATAAGGAAATGCAGTGTGGAAAGGAGAGACGGCTAATTAGGAGAAACAAAGAAAAGGATCTTGGCAAATCTATTTTAGAAAATTCTCTTCTAAAACAGGGGCATTTCCAAAACAAGCAGTTCCCTCTCTGGATATGCCCTTCACTCAATGGGAAAATGGGAAGAGCAGGGAACTAGCTTAGCACAGCGCTGTGCGCTATCCTGAACACACAAATATTTGGCTGTGGCATAAAATGTGACTTGGATCACAAACTGTACTCCTCTTTGTTTCATGATTATTTCTGCTTTGTAAGATGTGTTCATTTTGATTCAAGCCAGAAATGTATTGTTTCCAAGTATACCAAACTAGGTGCTGTGTCATTCCCTAGAACAGCTGAAGAAGAGGAGTGGAGGGGGGGGAGCTCTCTGGAAGTAGGAAAAGAGTGGCGGTGGCTCTGGAGGTAGATGTTCTCTACCCAACTGCCATTTCTCCTTCTCTGTTTTTACCAGAAGTGTTCATGCCTGAACAGTCACTCCAGGTTCCTTGATTGTGCTTGTTATAAAGCCCTTTGGGAACTCCCTTGGTGGGATAGAGTACCTTTGACTTCAGAATAATTGGACAGGGAAGTGAAAGGCTGGAGGCTAAAAAGGGATAAATTTACTTGAAGCACAAAGATTTTAATTTCTACCTCTGGATCCACACTGGTCAGAGCTACTCAGAGCGTAGGGGGACTTGTGACTTTGCAGCCACAGGTCATAAGCAGCAACTCTAAAGGATTTTAGAGCTGAGGTTGTTGGTCTCTTGATAGAAATTGTTCCCCAGAGACACAATTTGTTGTTGTTAGGGAGAGAGGAGCTTGCTACAGTCATCCAGAGAGTAATCAGGAGCACCTCTTCACCATAATTCCATTTATAAATAAGTCCACATTATTTCAGGGGAAGGATAAAGTAGCTAGGCCTCAACACAACCAGTCAGTCATGTTCAATCATTCTTATGTCCTCTAGTTGTCCTCTCTGTGTTGAGAACAATGGTTCTTAGCATTGGCCAATTATGTCCTCCACAAAACAGATATGCTTTGAAATATTTTTGATTGTCACGTGAGGTTTTCATCAATTTTTTTTCAGAGAAACAGTCAATAAGATAGGATAGGTTTGTGTGTGTGTATGTATACATGGGTGTATGAATCTTATAAGTGAATGATTCATACAATAATGGAGATGAAGTCCCATGATGTGATGTGAACAAGTTAGAGATTCAAAAGTATAGAAGATGTTGCTCAGGGCCTGAGAGCCACCTGTGTAGATTCCAGCCAGGAGCAGATCTCCGTTACACTTGAAGCCAGTGAGTGGACACTGAACAGAGAGGGAGCAAAGCCTCGCCATAATTTTAGGTTTTAAATTTCCAGAGATTATATGATTTTACCTGTAATGCGAGAGACATAACTTACTATACTGGCTCCAATGTACGTATCTGCTGGAAATACCATCACAGAAACAAACGGAAATCATGTTTAACCAGACACTGATGCCTTCCATATCCATTTAAGTTAATACATAAAATTAACACACAAGAAATTACTGGCATCTTGAAGGCAGGGACAAGGAAGATGTTAAACTTCTGGCAGAGCATGGGACAACACCCACAACCAAGAATCATTCTGTCCAAGATGTTAATAATGCCAGGATTGAGAACTCTCAATACAGAGAATGCCAAATCATTCTTTGCTGTTCTGTTTATCTTCTTGGGGGAAGCAGTAATTACCATTGAATTTTCATGATTTACTGCTTATTTTTCCCAACTCTGTCTAGCAGTGGTATAACTGTCTTATCTGGTGGAACTATCCCTGTCTTTCTGTAACCACTGTGAAGGGCTGATTTCACATTTTTGGAAGGTAGCAATCAACTGAGATAACCTCCCTCTGTGCTATGCCGCATTGTGTATAAGTGGCAGGTTTGCATTAGTGGGCTGCTTGCATAAGTGACCTGACATCACTTTTGATACCGTGGTGCTGACAGCCATAGGCTGCCTCACTAGAGCATAGAGCACTTGTTATGACATGGGAAGGAGAATAAATAATTAAGTGCTCTATATTTGCCAGCTTCTTGAACTGAAGGTCATTACTCCTCTTTACCAATATGTCTGAAAGAAGGTATATTCAGTGGAAGTCTTGTTGAAATGAAATACACTTCTGAATCAGTTTTCTAAGTTGCCAACGAATCTTTAATCACACAGCTGAACATCAGAAGTAACATAGTAAGAAAATGAACCATATTGTAGTAAATCAAACCCACAGTTCTCAAACCCAAGCCAGTGTAATTCAGCTGGGAAAACATAATAACTGGGAAATGTACACCACAGATTTAGACCCATCTCTAAGTTACATGATAATTTGCTGAATTACTTACAAAAATTAAAATTCCCCTTTATATTCTGTTTTTATATTTCTCTCTCCTTCTTTCTCTCTCTCTCTGATTCATCCTTTAGGCACAAATCCAAAACCCATCTTGTGGCAAGGATTTAAATAGGACCAGGATAAACAAGCCAATTTAAGAAGACCTTAGAGGGTAGAATATTCTAATTGGAAGCCAGCCTGCCATGGCTGGAATTGTTGCTGTCAGTTTGGGGGAATACTCTCCTTAGGTATATGCTGAATGCTGTCAGCTGCTGTCCTCAAAGCTGCCACTATTCCGGCAAGAATGAAAATGCATCGGGCTCATGGGATCAGACACGTAGCCTGCATCAGAAAAGAAGTTCAGCAGTTAGTTATTGGCCTTTCATACATTTCCCCATTTTTCTGAGGCAGTCTGACCGAGTGCAGTGCACAGCCGCCAGGCCGCTCTCCTGGATCACATGGAAAAAGTCTGGACCAGAGCTGCTGGTGAGCAGTTTTGTGGAGCAACAGCAACACTGAAAGTGAAAGCACAAGTTTTCTGCTTTGCTGGCTCCAGGACATTCGTCAACTTCCACATCCTGTTTATGTTTTCATTTACAAGTCAGGGAAATAACAGTATTTACTCATAAGGCTGCCAAACGAATATAAGATATCTAGCAGAGTTAGGCACACAGTGGGTACTAACCCAATGATGGCTAAGAAAGGAAGGAAGAGATAGCAGTAAAGAGGGAAAGAGCCATGATATATAGCAAGTTGCCTTTGTGTGTTTGATTTTTCATACTAGTAGTCTGAGTGTTAAGTGTACATCAGTGCTATAGTCTGAATGTTAGTATTCGATGCCTTTTGAAACAACAGCCCTGTTGTGGCTAGAGAATGGTGCCAAGTGTTCAGGACTGAGCTGCTGGCATAGAGGATTCAGGTGCATGGGTAGGGAAAGAGCTGCTTTTCTGCTTTGAAGTAAGGAGCCATTCATTGCTTCTGTGGAAATGGGCACATTTATCAACAGCTGATGCTGCTTTTTCTCCCTTTTGATGGCTGAGTTTTCAGAACCAACCCAGCCATCTACATTTTCATTAGGACATCTAGCAGTTATCCAGGCATATTTATTTTCATAAGAAAGATTTCTGTCAAAATATCTTAAGCAGCACATCAACTCTCCCCGAGGCAGTGGCACTAATGGTGATCCTGCAGCTTCCCACCCTATCTCCCTCTGTGGGACTGGCTCTGTTAGATTTGAGGGAGGTGGTGAGGTGGGAACAGAGATGAGGGGAAACAAGGTACCAATTTTGGCTAGACCAAAGCAAAATCTGCATCCTAGAACCAAAATACTTCCTTTTGTCTAACTGAAAAAAGGTGATTTCCTTCCAGGCATAGAGATGCTTAAATAAACTGGTAATCCTTTTGTTACCATAATTCATCTTCTGCTGTGCCACAAGCAGTCTCACTGGCCAGTCATGTTCCAGTGCCTCTTCCACACAGGACCCCTGCAGAAACTGACTGTGAACACACTTTCCTCCTGAGTGGGCAGCTTCTCCTTCAACTGTGAGAAACAAAGTCAGCAGGGCCTTGGTGTTGGCAGTTGTCATCACTGTGGTCACTTCCAGAGTGGAAGGACTGAAGGGTGGGACTTGTGTAGGCTCTCAGCTTAAGAAGGACTCAGCTGAAAAATGACCACAGGCTTAAGGGAAACACTGAAAAAAATCTGCATGTTTTGCGATTTCAAAATAACAGGTCTCAAGCAGAGAGAAAAGAGTTTCTGTCCTCATTCTCTAGCTCTGCTCATTGGCTGGGGAAGAGGAGAACATCTCAAAAATGGCTGTTCTATCCAACTGGCTTATGAAATGGAAATAGAGTAATTAAAGGCTCCTTTCTTATATGAAGTTCTATTTGTGATGGATACATTAAAATTATGTTTATAAGGATCTTCACTTCATTCAACAGCCTGAAATTTTCTTCCACTCCTGGCACAAATACTCATCAGAAAATCTAATGTTTGTATTACTATGTCTCCTTAGTCTTCTCCATTTAAGAGTCTTCTTAAAACCTTGCTGCTTTAAGAAACTAGAACTGTCAGTTAAAGAAATGCTTTACTCTTTATCTGCACCATGAAAGCAAAGAATTCTGGTCAAAGCACACATTTCAAAAGGTGCCCTGTATTTTTTTTTTTTTTTTGTGCGTGTGGTTGTGAATTCACTTGAGTAAAGGTTTGAGAAAACGGTATTTTACCTTTTAAAAATATAGGACGGTGTGACACTTGGATCACATTTCTCCTCCAAAGGATGTGTTCCTAGACTAGCCAATTGTAAAGCGGATGATAAAGAGCCCTGAGCTGTATTCGTGACATATATTGGAAGGCAGAAGCACAACCTTTGCTTTCTTGAATGTATCCTTGTAGTTTGTCTGCATCTACCAAGAACAACCTTTTTTTCTTTTTTTTTTTCTTAAAAGCTTCTTAGTGCCTTGGGTAATGAGAATCTGCAGCTGAAGTGCACTGATGAGGATCCCAAAGCAAGGGTCTCCAGGAACTACTGCCATTTGTATCAGAATCAGTTGTACTGTACATCATCCAATTTATTCACCCAAAGCCAGCCCTTGTAATAAATCTGATCTTTTTAAGTGACAGACACTTTTCTAGTCCTCAATATAATTGAAGGAAGTTGCCATGAATAAATGGGCCTATTGTGCTGAAATTCCAATTAAGCATAAAGTCTCTCAGGCCTAAAGGTTGGAGAAAGGACATCAGAGCCTTGGCACATTCACATGGCAGCTGATGCTAAAGGCATTTATCCATCCTGTGGCATCCAGGAGACTGCTATGAACTTTGTTAATTATTTCCATGAGCATTATTCATTTTTTTCTGAAGCAGTTCCATACAGCATTGATCCTACCACTTTACCCTGAGGGGAGAGGTGGGAAATGGGTTTCCATTTTGTCTGTGAGTGCTAGCTAAAATAGAAGAGCTCCCCCAGAATGATAAAATCATGGGAACTCATTTTTTTTTCTCTTTAGCTGTATATCCTTAAAATGGATCTAGAAGAACTGAAGTCATTAAGGTGGCAACAAAGTGCTTAAAATGTCACAAGGGGAAGGAGTTTCTTTTAATAATAAAAAATTATTCTTTTTCCCCCCACATGCATGTATGTGGTCTCACTTGCCAGCACATATGCTCACATACTCACACGCATGTTCACAGATCCATGATGATGCTTAAAGGTGAATGGAGAATTAAAATGGACTTATATAATCAAAGCTTGTGTTTTTATAAGAATATTTTCAAAGACTGGTAACTTCTAGACATTACAAAATATAAGTTATTTCTCTTGTAAGAAATAGATGCCATCTCTTGGGAGCATTTTTCTTAGTGCATCTAGAATGTCTGTTGACTTACCATATTTGTCAATGGGTGAGTATTGGAGATTTTTCTTCATCTCTTCCAAGGATAGGCCTTGAGGGGAACATTGTCCAACACTGGAAATGAACAGAATACACAGCTTCACATTGTAATATTTTTTTAATAAGATGACTATATTTACTCAATATGGATCCTAGAAAAATGGAAATGTGATGTAAAGGTATCGATAATAAGTTAGGGAAGATTTCAGAATTAATTGGAGTAATTCAGATACAGTTGTGAATTTTGCGTCTCTTATATGGAAATATAACCTTGAGTCTCACACTTTTCCTGAACCTCAGTTTACTATTTATGAAATGGAAAAAGAATATAATAAACAATTTTAATAATTTGCAGTTTGATTTAATGTTTAAAAATATGAATAAAATGATTCAAAATTTGTATTACTATGCTTAGAAGTATTATTTAGTGGGAAATAATATGAAGAATATTGATCAATGTAAATGAAATACATCCCAAGAGATATTTCCAAAATTAAAATTATGGTAAGATATAATAACAATAATTATTTATTTCATGAACCTATGTATTAAACATCTATATACAGTAAACTCATTTTTATCATGCTCTATCTTAAATATTAGATACTTTTTATCACTTTACAAATAAGAAAACTGAGATTGGCGTAATGAAGTAGTTTGTTATCTAGGTTTGGTAAACAGTTCTTCTAGGAATCACATCCAAGAGTTTCAGATATCAGATTATGTACTTACCTGTTCCTCAAATGTGAAATTCTTCTGAACTTCTTCTTTTCAGTGATCATTCTCTCCCCAGATTCCCAAGATTCACTTACCATTTTGGTTAAATAGGACACTACCCATTCAAAACCTGAAGTTGTCAAAACCCTGACAATTTTGTCTAATCTCATCTATAATTATTTATATCTGTATTTCTTGGATTCACTTAAATTGCTGTCATCCTCAACTTGGTTACCCTGGCTACCCCCAGAACTTTCCTCACCATGTTCCTAAGGGAACTTAATTTCTTTTATCACCAAGCCAATCCTCTTCATTCTACTGCCAGTACATGTCATCCAGTCACATAAGGCAAAATTCCTGGGGTTGTGATCTATGGCATGCCCAATTCAAATCTTTTGAACTCTGATCCAAAAGAGTCCTAATCCACCCATTTGTCTTCTCCTTCAATGTCAAGTCACTTTATCTCTTTCTTGTATGAAGTCCTGAAATTGGACTTCTAGTTGCTCTCATATATTCAGAGATATCATTCTCTTCATATTGTCTAGCATACCATATTTTTTTCGTTTTTCATTTTCACTTTTTATCAGAATGATTTTGTGATACAGTTCCATAGGCTGGGATTTCCCTTACCCACTCCCCAAATCCTTTCTCTATTGCCCCCCGGGAACTGATTTCCCTTTTGTTATTACTATAGTACAGTTCTTCATAAACAGTCGTAAGTCCATTGTTATGGACATGGACAATGGCAGAGAGTCCAGCATCCTATTGTCAAGATATAATTAACCTTTTCATTGGGAGTTCATCTTTGATCTGGAAGGAGAGATGCATACTGCATTGTATCCTCACATCTGAATATGATAGTCTCCATTACACAGTTACTATACATCCCCTTGAATGAAAAGCCACAAAACAAAACCAACAACAGGAAGAAAAATAGAAAATTACAACACCATGAAGTTAAATAACATGCTACTGAATGCCTATCATGTCACTGAAGAAGTGAAAAAGAAAGTCAAGAACCTTCTTGAAGAAAATGATGCTACCTATGAGTCAGTGAAGAATTTAATATGAGTAAAAGCTGGTTTGAAGAAATAAAAATAAAAATTCATGAAATATAGTTTCCACTGGTCTTTGTCAGTGAGGTGTATCTTCTGTAGACAACCTATGAATGGGTTTTGTTTTTAAATCCAGCCCGCGAATCTGACATTTGATTGATGAGTTTAAGTTTTTCACATTTAGGGTTAGTATGAGTAGGTGCTAACATGGTCCTGCCATTTTAGCAATGGATTGTTCATTGTTTGATTTAGTCTTCTATTATTATTTTACTGGGATATTCTTCACATTTGCCTTTGGCTTTGGTGGGTACTATTCATTTTCTCCATCAAGAGAACATTTATAAGCATCAATTGTAGGGCAAGTCTGGAAGAGAAGTGTTCTTTCAGCTTTTTATCAACAAGAAGCACATACAGGAGTTCAAGGAACTTAGTGAATATATCAGATAGGAAAAGGGAAAACTGATACAAAATCAAGCCAAATTATTGGAAATGAAAGACACAATATGGCAAAGTAAAAATTCATGGGCAAGTCTCAATAATAGAATGAATGAGGCAGAAGAAAGAACCTCAGAACTGGAAGTTATTTCCTGTCACAATGGGAAGACAATCAAAAAGCTGGAAGCAAAGCTGGGTCAACCTAAAAAAGTATTCAAGAATTAAAACAGACTATATAAGATATGGGGTTTCTAGAAGATTTAGAAAGAGAAAGCCTAGTTTGAAAATGTATTTAATGAAATAATAGAGGAAAACTTCCCTAATCTGGAGAAAATATTGGGAAACAAGATCCAGGAGGGCACAGAACTCACAACACGGTTGATTAAAAGTGATCTTCACCACAACACATGATACCAAAAGCGATCTTCACCATGACACATGAGATTCAAGCTCCCTTCAATTGAACATAAGAGAAAGATTCTTAAATTTGCACGTGAAAAAAATCAAATGACCTATAGAAGTATGTCAATCAGACTCACAGCTGACCCCACACAGGAAACTATTGGCCAGAAGAGAATGGAGCAACATATTCCAGATTCTAAAAGGAAAAAAAAAATTATCAGCCCAAGATAACATATCCTGCATAGCTTGCTTTTGTCTTCGAAAATGGTATCTTAAAAACATAAAACAGATGAACCATTTGCTTAATCAGAATACTCCAATGACTGCATTTGGACTAAGACGCAAATGCTTTACTTTACTGAACACTTCTCCACCTACTAGGTCCTAGGTTTACATACCACTCCATCTTCTTTAAACTCAACACTTATCTTCTCCATACTTTTTTGCTAAGCACTTTTTCAGGCATTCATTCTGTCCTTTGAGCCCAAGTTACTTCCCAGTTCACAGCCAGTGCATTTGTTAATTCTGCTCAGAAACAGCTCCTTCTTCTTTCTCTTTCCCTTGTTCTCTTTCTTGTCCTCTTCCTCCTTTACTCCATTTTCTTGCTGAAAAACATAATTCCTAAAATTTTGACCCGCAGGTCCCTTTCATGTTATGTGTGTGCCAATGAGAACAAAAGGTAAAGATTCACTGTCACTGTCATTCCCATAAAAGGAATGGCTCCTTTTCTGACACTGTTTTTAAAAATATACCAGAATCCATACTGAGTGCTTAGAAAATTGCAAATAAACCTGCCATAGGACCCATCTATTCCACTCCTGGGAATATACCAAATAGAAGTGAAATCTACAAGTGAGAAGGGGATCTGTAATTCTATATTTGCAGTAGCATAATCCACAATAGCAAAGACATGGAAACAATCCGTATGCGTGTCCAAACAAGAGTGGCTAAAGAAACTGTGGTACATCTACTCCATGAAATATTATTCAGCTATTAAGAAGAATGAAATTATTCCATTTACAACCAGGTGGTCCCAACTAGAGACTATTATGCTCAGTGAAATGAATCAATCACAAAAGAACAAATATCATATATTCTTTTTTGTATAAGGAAACCAACATGGAAAATGTAACTGCAATAGTCCAATCCATTACTACTTTTTGATTGTTTGTTTGCTTTTTGGCTGTATCCAATGCATTTTGATGTTTTTTGTTTCAGTTTGATTCATTCCAAATAATCTCTTTTCTCTAGTCGAATTAATCATGGGCTATGAATTATCTGATGATATCATTTTCTCAAGAGACTTCTGTGTTTCCTTTTTGTCACTCAGGTGCTAGTTACTCAATGGCACTTTTTTTTTAATGGTACTGTAATTTGTTGTTGATGTTGTTTTGTTGTGACTGTTCTAATGCATACCAATTGTTGACCTCGTTTCATGGCTTCTCACTTATGGTAACATACAGTGATGGAGTACTGGGGTCTATCATATACAAACGTGGGGGTATAATGGAACATGCATCCCTGCATCCAGACGAAAGATGGAATCCCAATGAAACTGTTGGACATGTGTAGACAATGGGATGCTGGACTGTTTGATATTGTCTGTACCAACAATCTCGGGGTACACTTAAATAACAGACTGATAGAATTATGATTCCTTATGAAAGACTACACTATTGTAACAAAATGGGAACAATCTGACGGGGGAGGGAATTCGAGGGGGGAATCCCAGCCTACACAAAATTGTACCACACAATTCAAAATTCAAAATAAAAAAAATATATTTAAAAATTAATATATAAGAATCCTCACATTTCAATGAAGGTGGCAATGTCATAAGTATACTGTCTGACTTTGCTGCTTCCTCAATATAAATGAATACCTGTTATAAGCATTCTCTTTTTCTGTATTTTTCCAGGGCCAATGTTGTCACCATTACAATTATTTGATGTATTCTTTTAATTTCAAGGTAGTCCTGTCACTGGGAGTCCTTCTTACACTTGTGGTTTTTGCCTGTGTAATTCAGTTTTTTCACTACTACCTACAGCATCACTGTTCTCTGGATGTGTCTTGCAGTGATCTGCGTAACTGTTCAGGTATATGGGTCTGTTTTCCACCAATTTGCCATCTGACAAACTGAATCATCTCATTCCAGTTCCTGCCTGAAAAGTAGAACTTTTGGATGCTGTGTACCACTTATCTCTTTTGGATATTGTCTATTTTATACTTAGATATAAAAAAATGCTCTTCATCTAAACCCTTCAGAGTTTTTATTAGCTCTTCATGAACCCAAATCCTATCTTGGTTAATCCTTATGCATCCTTTCCTTTATCTGGTTTTTAAGCCTGAGTTCAAATATCATTGTCTCAGTTAGGTTTTCTTGCCACTTTTCCAAAGTTGCCACTCTTGTATCCATAGTCACTATCTATTACATCATATCACATCATCACATCACATCACAACACA